TGAATGGATATTAGTAGTGGAAACTAAGATTTTGCTGTCAACAAAGAATACCTTTATTGCCTAGTGATGAGGAAATAAAAATTAAAACTATAAATTATTATTCTGTCTCTGATTAACTAGATATGCTGAGCAAAGTCTTTACAGTTTAATCCTTTTTTTTTTTTTTGCAATCTTCCTAGTCTTCCTTCAACTGAAATTATTGTTGCTTAATTACTGATTGTATAACACTTTAGAATCAAATGTGAGACACTGTAACACACCTTTACATTGGATACTCTGTCCCACTCTTTGAAAAGTACTTCTGGGGTTTGATTTCTCCTTTGAGATTTTGATTTGACTTATGACTCCCCTGACTCTTTGATGAACTTTTTTTCCTGAAATGAAAGAGCTGTCAAATAGTCATATCATTAAAAGTGTCATCCAACCTCATGAAAATAGTCTCCTGCTGTCTTGAAATGCTTAAAAATGATGAATATTCATGTTTCTGCTTTCCTGGGGTCATTTATAATGCTGTGTATTTGTGGTCTCCCTGCTGGGATTCATTTGACCTTGAGATAGCACACGTTACTAGAAGAGAACACATCTGACACATCTGAACTAGGTTATGCTTTTTTTGTTGTTTTGCAAAAAAACAAGCTTAAGACTTTGTAGGGTACTATGTTTACTTTCCTAAGTAATTTCTATGGCAAATTGACAGTCTCATATTATCAAACTGATGTTTTTCTCCCAAGGTCAGAATTGATGCCTGTCTATGCATTAAGCAGATACGATTTCATAAAGCTGTAAATAAATGCAATTTATTTTCTGTTTCATATCACTTGTTTGGCTCTCTCAGCACTACCTACTGCCTGCCTTCCCAAGGGAAAATCTCCCCTGCATCCTTTGCCTCACTCCTTTGGGATTGTGCTCTCTGTTATCTGTCACCATTGGAAATGATTTGGATCAACAAATCCCCTAAAGTGTTACTGATATTGACTCAAAGCATAATACTCTAAGAATATTGATATTTTACTAAGGGATTTGTATAGAACTAGATGTTACTGGAAAAAAAAATCTTAATAAATATATATATATTTTTTGAGACAGAGTCTCGCTCTGTCACCCAGGCTTGAGTGCAGTGGCATGATCTCGACTCACTGCAAGCTCCGCCTCCTGGGTTCATGCCATTCTCCTGCCTCAGCCTCCCGAGTAGCTGGGACAACAAGTGCCAGCCACTACGCCCGGCTAATTTTTTGTTTTCGTATTTTTAGTAGAGATGGGGGTTTCACCGTATTAGCCAGGATGGTCTTGATCTTCTGACCTTGTGATCCACCCGCCTCGGCCTCCGAAAGTGCTGGGATTATAGGCGTGAGCCACCGTGCTCGGCCAAGAAATATTTCTTAAATGGTAGTCTTTCGAATGAGGATTTGAACTGGAGCTAGTCTGGGTCTGAGTAAGCCTTCCTTCCTAGTGCCCCTCAAATCAAACTAGGTAAAGGCATCTCCATGCCAACCCTGGGGAAGGGAATCAAAGCAAGTTGTCTCTTGTAACACAATCATTAAAGTGGGGAAATTGCAAGATCTAGAATCAGATAGGTTAGTTGCCAAGTTCTAAACAGTTGGGTTAGTCTTCAAAGTGTGCGGATGTGTGTGTAGGCTTTATTTAATATCATTGTTAAATTATAGTTCTGCCACATACTATCCATATAATCTTCTTCAGGTTACTTATTCTCTATGAGACTCATTATTCTGTAAAACATAAACAATAACATCAACCTCAATTTAATCTGAATGTTTAAATAAAATATGTATAGCAACATGTGCAGTGCCTGACACAAAGTAGGTAGTCAATAGATACTAGAACACTGCATTGAATGAAAAACAACTTCATTTATGCGCCCTGTTTCCTTGAAACTAGCATAAACAAAATTTTATATTTATAAATAACATACATAAACATAATTCTATTACAGGCTAAAAATAAACAAGTTGGTAGAAATATGTGCTGTTGTTAAATTGATTTAATCACCTTTGTTATTTTAAACAATACTTACCAAAAAATAAGAAATTAACATTAAAATACCATAAATACATTATATATACTACAAAAAACCCATGTTGATTAAAACTGTAGTGGTAACAAAATAAATCATCAAAATTCAACCCAATATTGGTATATAAAAATTTTCCATAGGCATATGACATTCTTCTATAGGTATATGCAAATTTTCATCTTGAATGTTGCTTTGGACTTTTATATACCAGATCTTCAGATAGATGAGAAAAGTAAATTATTTCATGACAAAGATCTATAAAAGGGAAGTACTCTGCTTCCTGTGATCCATGACTAACATTGGAAATTGCTTTTCCAGATGTATGAAACAAATTGTCATGCTTGTATTCCTTGTACTCACTTTAGGGAAGAGATCTACAATTTGAAGTCCTCCTCTACAACCTCTCTATCACTGACTTTCTATTTTCAGCTCAAACTGGAAAGAACTGAAGGCTCTGATGGTTAGAAACTTCTTGCATACTGTGGACAATTAGCATGGCCAGGCCTGCTGTGAGTCCAGTGCATATTGGAAATAGGACACAGAGATAGGTAACTGCGTCACAGCAAGGAATTTCCTCCTCTATCCTGATGTTTTAAAGTGTAGCAGAACCAGGGCTTTGAATTCTTTGACCCCATGGATTCCTAGATTCATATCATCTGCAATAACTACCAAACTTAAGATCTGGCTCCACAAAGAAATAGCAATACATTAGAGAGAAGTTTCCACACTTATCCTTACCCTAAATATGTTATTTCCACTTCTTTTTGCTGACATAGTAATAAGCTGAAGAGAAATTAATCTGGAAATAAATTTAAGCCATTAACCTGTGATTCTTCAAACTAATTATGGATTCTAATACATGTTGAGACTTCAGTGTATTTTCAAGCTGTATTTAACCCTTAAATTAATATTTGTTGACCAACTGATTGAAGGAAGGAATGAATAGTAAAAACACTATGTTTTGAAGTATATAGTACTTCAAAACAGGAGATGTGTGAGGGTGCAGAGAATTCTGGGTTTAGAAGCAGGTATAGAATAGGGATTAATATATGAAGGCATAGAGAAGTGAGAAAAGGCAGGGCTCTAACAGAAATACTGGAAATTATATCTGGAGAGGGAAGTCTCATCTCACAAATGAGGACAAAATGCATATAGTAGTGCCCTCTTATCTGCAGGGAATAAGTTTGGAGACTCCCCAGTAGATCCCTGAAACATCAGTTACTACCAAACCCGACTGCCTTCAATTAAAACAAGTTTCTGTTCATGTCTTCTACCCACAAATGTAATGCTTTTTCAATCTTAACTAAGCACTTAGCACGCACTGTGGCAGTAACTTGTAGTTTTAGGTGCCACAGCAAAAACTAACATATTTTTTTGTCCTTCTTCACAACTTCAAAAACAGATTTGTTCTTACCATAGATTTCAACAACCTCAGCATATGACTTTTTTTGTTTCCTCAAGTTGAGAACTTTCACCTTTTCACTCAAAGGAAGCACTTTAGCATATCCTCTTTGGCATATCCAAATTAACAGCATCCCCTCTCCTGTGCTTTGGGCCATTATTAAGCAAAATAAGGGTTAGTGGAACACAAACACTGCAATATTGTGACAGTAGATCTAATAACTGAGATGCCCACTAGGAGACGAAGAGGTGCATAGCATAGACAGTCTGGAGATGCTGGGAAAAGGAATGATCCCCATTTTGGACAGGATCGAAAAGAATGGCCCAAGATTTCATCATGCTACTCAGAATGGCATGCAACTAAAGATCTATACATTCTTTATTTCTGCAAATTTTAATTTAATACTTTTAAACTGCCATTGATTACAGATATCTGAAACCATGGAAAGCAAAACTGCAGATAAGACAGAGCTACTGTAGAGTACATTTAGGTTAAAGATAAAAGAAAAGGTGTTCAAATAAGACATACAAGAAGGCTATAGTGGAAACGAAGGACTGAACTTATTTAAATGTGAATATGGAGAGGAATGGTACAGTCTCTTTTCGTCCTTAGAGAAAAACTTGTTAATAACCAAGACGAAGATTGGTAGTTGTAAGTTAACTTGGAGACTTAGAGATAGGGATGGAAAAGAGGGGAAGGGAAGGAAAGTATAAATGTTTAACAGGCCACAGTGTCCCATGAGCCACGTTCATGTTTCATAGCTTCTAGAGGCTGCAAATTAAAATGCTTAGAGGAGACAGTTAATGAGTGATTAGGGCCTAATGATGAAACAGAAAGTATATTCCCTTCTTAAGGTAGTAGTCAACACGACTCCTATAATTGTTTGCCATACAGGAGTGCAGACTCAAAGAGAAATCAACAATTTAGGTTTGCTGAAAAATATTTTTACTTGTAAATTTTGAAAACTGATTCCACTTTTATAAAAATTGTTTATGGTACATAGCAACATGGATTTATAAAACGTAGAGAGAAAAAAGAAATGGATGAGATGTATAGCATAATATCATTTCTATAAATTTAAATATATTCACATAAAAACAATGCAAATACTCTGTAAGATCTCATATATACTGAATGGCATCAATCAAACACATTAGAGTCCTGCCTTGGTTGTAAGAGACACAACTGACTATGAAAAATAAGAGGGAAATACTACTTTTTTTTTTTTTTTTTTTAAATGAAGAAGAGTTTCCTACAGGGACAAGTGATACTAACATGGTATGGACTAGAAATATGATTACCCAATTTTCTGCACATCAGATCTAATGTAGATAAATAAATATTATTAAAATAACACACACAGTAACAGTGTCTGCTATAAAATAATAATATAAATAAACAATAATGGCATTGATTGTTGGCCCAAAAAATATAAAGACCCATTATGTTTAAATGGACTATAAGAAAAGTTCTAAAAGAAGGAGCCTGTTAGACTAAGTCTTGAACCAGAAATTTACCAGAGGTTTGAGAAAGGTAGGGGCTTTCCATGAAACACATTGTACGCACCAGGAATTACTTGCTGGAGTTGATTATTCCTGCAATAGGGAAGTGGCTGTGGATAAGACATGTCAGGTGTACAGGTAAGGCCCATGTCCTGGAGGCTTCATGCATACTCAGAAGTTAGGGGTTTATCCTCTAGATAATAAGGAAACATTTCTTCATTAAAATATAATACTTGTAAAATTGCTTTTTCTCTTTTTTATTCTCTACCTTCAGAACAGTCTCTTGAGGCAAGCAGTCTCTTCATTATCATTTAGCAAGCTTGGAGGTCTAAAGATTAATATAAGCATGCTTCTGTGTATATGCATGAAAATATTATCAACAATATGTATTCACAGATCCTATTTCATATGGAAGAATTTGTCCACGTAGTATAATTTTCCAAGCCCTGCTTTATAAATTCAACACACTACTCATCAGTTCTCCTCGGTAAATTTAAACCCTCTAATATATTGTGCCCAAAAAAAACTAGACACACAGTTTTATTTTTTATATATTAAATGAAGCTAATATATTTCTATAAATGGAATTGTCTATAGAATCCAGATGAACCCAGTATCTCAAAACTTTTAATCAAATTAATAATCATGAAAATGGTCATTTTATTTTTCCCTTAAAGTTGACATTAACTTATTAATTTGAGTGTGGCGTGATTATTGCCTAAGGCTAGTACTGTTTAGAACAATACATTTCTCTAAATTACATTTTAATTTTTCCAAAGTTATCTTTTAATGAGCATTCTCTCTAGAAGTACTTCTGAAAATTAGCTTTTATTGAATGATAAATGCAAATGATGAAATCCTGGATTGCAAATATAATTATATTAAGTACATAGAACACCAACTATAAATTTTTTCTAAGTTTTTTAGTTGAACTATTAAATGTTTATTCTACTCCTTATTAAAATAGATTTAATTAACATATTATTTAAAAATCTCTATAATAGACTGTGTTTAGGCATTTTGAGAGATAATATAGGGTTGATTGGGTTTCACTGCACCACTTACTATTTATGTGAATTTTACTTAACACTGCCTCAGTTTTTCATAAAAGGATGAGAATTATATGGCCTACCTCTCCAGGTTATTGTGAGCATGAAATTAACTACTATATGTAAAGATCTTAGAACACTGCTATAAAATAAATGTCAGCTACAATTATTGGCCACATCCAAAAATCAAATTATCATTAAAAGGGTACATTACACTTCTTACATGTATTACAAAGATACTTATTATGTGCATTTGCAATTGCGTTCATCATCTGCTAACAAGCATTAATCATTTATCTCATCATTTACATTTATAACAACTTTCCAGTGGAAAGGTATTATCATCACAATTGGCATTAAATCTGTTATATTATGAATGCTATAGTCTACTGTGTCATCAAATAAAGTGGAATTTCTCTCTTTGATGACCAGTACTCCCTTCCACAGAAATATGCACATATTTCATAAATACTTCTGATGGTCAACATTAGGAGAAGAGTATATCCAGAAATATTACTTTCTATAATGTGTATTATAGAAAATGTAATAATGACTATTTACCATGGCCCAGATTCAAGCACCAATAAAAAATCACCATATTTACAACCTAGAGATGGAAGAGGTCTTTCCAAACCAAGAAAAAGAAACACATTGAAGAGGTCTTTCCAAACCAAGAGAAAGAAACATGTTATAAAAAAAAAAAAAAATTTGTATGCAAAAATACATGACGGTTGATAGGCAAACACCAGTTTAGAAAAAACTGAAATATAGATGACAGATAAAAAATCTGTAATGCATAAATACATTTTGCAAATGATTTATAGAAGTTTAGCAACGTAAATGATATGAAGGAAAAGATATGAACAGTCAATTCACAGAAAAGCAACTCTGAGTGGTTGATAAACATAAAACTACACATCTTTTGTGATGAATGTGGGCAGTCAAATATACAATTATGTGTGTCTGTGTGTGTGCACACTCTCCATCAACCCAGAGTGGGGGATATGGGCAGCCATGACGACTCTCCTATGTGTCTCTCTGCACACTCTCCGTTAGTCCTGAGCAACTCACATATGAGGATATTCCTATGAAATCTCCCTACATGGTCTGCTTCACCATGAAACCCTCTCCCAACAGAAGTTAAAGAATGGAAAGAATAGGGCCAAGAAGTAGGAGGAGTATAGAAAGAAAAGACCTTTTAATCCCTAAAATGAGGTAAGCACAGTACTTCATGAATTGGAACCACAGAAACTGAAAGAGTAAGTTACCTTTAGGCTGTTCCAATCTAGGACAGAGGAGTAGTTAGGATCTTTGAATTGTGCTTCCTCTTGAGCAACTTCTTCCAAAGGAAACAGGTGGCAGTTTTCTTGGTGGATTTTGTGACCTGTCTGTGACTACAATATTAATTCCATTATGATGTATTTATGTTTGCATTTTACATTCAGTATGCATTTTAAAATATTGTCTCTTTCTGGTTCTCTTCTTCTGGAATGAATATTACACATGTACTGAAGCTTCTCGTTCTATCTTCTTCCTTTTCAATATTTCTCATTTTCTTGTATCTTTGCAATCTGATCTGAATTACCAACTGTATATTCTAGTTCAGTAATTTTCTGTTCACTGTTCTAGCCTATTCCTTAATCAGTTAAATAACAATAATTCTAATAATACTAATTTCAATAGTTTTTTTTTTTTTTTTTGAGATGGAGTCTCGCTCTGTCACCCAAGCTGTAGTGCAGTGGGGTGATCTCAGTTCACTGCAACCTCTTGCCTCCCAGGTTCAAGCGATTCTCCTGCCTCAGCCTCCCAAGTAGCTGGGGTTACAAGCATGTGTCACCACGGCCAGCTAATCTTTTGTATTTTTAGCAGGGACAGGGTTTCACTATATTGGCCAGGCTGGTCTCAAACTCCTGACCAAAAAGTGATCCTCCCACCTCAGCTTCCAAAAGTGCTGGGATTACAGGCGTGAGCCACTGTGCCCGGCCCTCAATAGATTTTTTTATTTCTAAGTTTTCTAAGATAGTCTTTTTTGAATATTTCCATTCTTATTTTGTGGGTTCTATTCCTTCCTATGTCTCTTTGAAGAATTTAAGCATACTTATTTTAAAACCTTTTCCAGATTTTTCTCTGTCTCATCTGTGGACTCATAGGATTATAATTTTTTATAGATTTTCTTTCTTTCTTTTCTGTCTTTCCCTCCTTTTCTCCCTGCCTTCTTGCCTTCCTTTCTTCCTTCATTCCTTCCTTCCTTCTTTTCGAGGCAGAAACTTGCACTGTTAGTCAGGCTGCAGTGTAGTGCCATGAACATTCCTTACTACAACCTCAAGCTTCTGGGCTCAAGTGATTCTCCTTCCTCAGCCTCCTAGGTAGCTGGAACTATAGGCAGATGCCTCTGCATCCAGTTATTTCTTAAATTTTTATTTTTTGTAGAAACGGGGTTTCACTAGGTTGCTCAGGCTGGTCTTGAATTCCTGACCTCAAGTGATCCTCCCACTTCAGTTCCCAAAGTATTAGGATTACAGGCATGAGCCACTGTGCCCAGCCTCATGTTTTTTCTAATTATCATATGTACTTTCCATGTTCACAGACAGTTATTTTCTATCAGATACTTGTACATGGGTCTTAATGGCCGCCCTATGGAATTACTTCAAAGTTGCCTGTCAGGAGTGTACAGAGATTATCAGTACCAAACAAGATTTTAAATTATGTTAGACTTTTCACCAGTAGGCAACATAGCTTCTGAGTTACAATTTCCCTAGAATGACTCTTCCCATGCTTTAGGGCAAAGAGCTTCAGCCCGCAGATAATTCCCCTGTCTTCATGCACAATTAGGGCAGCTCATTCACAATTGCCTTCTTCCATGCAGACAATGCATTCCTGTGTTATGCCATATCCCAGTCCAGGAACTAAAACCTGCGTTATGCCATACCCCAGTCCAGGAACGAGAAAGTTTCCAGGCTGCTAGGAGAAGCTATTTGTAATGTGACTTGTAGAAGCTAAGTGTAATGTGACTTGTGAGAAGAGGGAAATAGAGCATATCTTACTTTATGTGCTTCTGCCCATTTATGTGCATCCCCCCAAAATTCCAAGATCTAGCAGGACATAAAGTGGGGGTGTTCTGGCTTCAAGGACTAATGAGAATAAGGCAAGATTCTTGTGTTACAGAGACTTGGGCTGGTTATCAAAGCAGCAACTCAGACACAGAGAAATACAAAACAGGGCCTCTGGGCCTCTTTGACTGAAGTGAAGGCTCAGTACATTAGCTTGCTGAAATTCTTAACTAAAATTACCCCCTAAATATATACTAAAGCTTGGGACAAACTCACTAGCAAGTGTAGGTTGAGTGTCTGATTGTGGAGGAAGACTGGCTAAAGAGTCAAGGAACCACTCAGGTCATTTGTTATTGTGCTAACTGCCTTTGGATTCATACTTTTTTAAACTTAATGAATGAAACAGAGTATTGTGAGCATTAATTTTTTTTCAGATATTTCTGTGATAATATTTTGTGAAATGCCACTTTTTAATTGATTGTAATGTAAAAAGATTCAAACCTGTAATTTCAGACTTCTGGAATGAGAGACTGTGGTCATCATGAAAAAGACCCTCAGTAAGAGGGAATTCTTTTTTCATGTCTTATGAATCTTATAGAATATTTGAAAATAAAAATAAAGGCTTATTATTGAATTATTTCTGGGAGGGTAGTCTCAATTCATAAACACTACAGTATTAAAAGTATGTCAGGAGTGGAACGATGGCAGAATAGGAGTTCTTTGGCTTAATTCTATCTCCCCACCCCATTCATCCCCCCAAGACTCCTCACACACAACCATGAAATCTAACCAGCAACTATTCACAGACAAGAATAGCATCCCGAATATCCCATAACTTGGGAGGGAAGCTGAAACACCTACACCGGACTGCAGCACCAAGGAAGGCTGTAATCAAATGGTAAAAAGAATGATTCTCTTCGAGTGCACCAGCCCTCCCTGAAGCCAGTCCAGCACTACACATTGAGAATTCCTCTGGAACCATGGTTTTTACAGTAGGAAAAGTGAGGTAGAGGAAAAGTGAGGTAAATGGACAGTCAGTTTGTCCATCATTCTAGGACCCACTCTTCTTTCATCTCACAAGAAACACTGGGAACACAGACAGAGTCAGACCACCTGAGATCAACTAGAAACAAAGAACATAGGTAGAGCTCACAGTGTACAGAACTTGGTGGCTACTCTACATTCCAGGAAAGGGAGGCACCACACCAGAGAAACTAGCCAAGACGATCACACTGCAGAAAACATAGTCCATACTTATTTTAGGCTCGAATCCTTAGCTCATGTCTCCACACAGCCTGAATGCTCTTCTCGGGTCTTCTATATGCCCTATTTAGGAGAAGCAAAGGTGCTAGGCAAGCTTGACCTAGGAAGGCAAGCAGAGGTTCCACTCAATCAATAGGCACTCCCGATGACCTCACCCCAGCAAAAAGACTTCCATCTTCATACATCTCAGAGTAGCATACAGGCTAGAACAGCTTGAACCAAAAGGTTAGGAAGCTTCAGTCAGCCCAAATGCCTGCCAAATGATCCCAACCAGCCAAGGAGATTCCCACTGCCATGGATTTCAGAGAAGGAAAAGGACTTGACCGGGTTGACCCAGGAAGTCAAGTAGTGGCTCCACTCAGTCAAAAAGCCCACCCACAACTGTACCAAAGCAAGGATACATTCATCTTCACAGATTTCAATCCTCATTTATGCATTTCTAAGGATTAGAACCTCTGGCCCTGCCTGTCCCAAGCAGTGACTACACCTACCCTAGGAGCCCAACTAGTAACTTTACTTGATAGCAGAGCTTAGCCAGTGGTCTCACTGGACAGCAGAACCTAGTCAGCAGCCCCAACAAACATCAGAGCAGAAGGAGGGGCTCTGTCATCTAGAGAATTCAACAGCTCTGCCTGTTAAGGGTCATAGCAGCAAGCCCTTCCAGAATCACAGGCTAAACAGTGAAGGCTTATCCCTGACAAAGAACGTCTATAAAGCCTGAGGAGAGGCTGTTTCCTCAAATGTGTAAACAACAATGCAAGGACATGAGAATTATGAGGGCTCAGGAAATATGACACCTCCAAAAGAAACTAATAAAGTTCGGAAAATAGACCTCAAAGGAAAGGACATCTATGAAATTACTGACAAATAATTCAGATTAACACTCATAATTTCAGGGAACTACAATAACGTATGAATAGAACATTTAATAAGATTACACTGTTGGTGGGATTGTAAACTAGTTCAACCATTATGGAAAACAGTATGGCGATTCCTCAAGGATCTAGAACTAGATGTACCATATGACCCAGCCATCCCATTACTGGGTATATACCCAAAGGATTATAAATCATGCTGCTATAAAGACACATGCACACGTATGTTTATTGTGGCACTATTCACAATAGCAAAGACTTGGAATCAACCCAAATGTCCATCAGTGACAGACTGGATTAAGAAAATGTGGCACATATACACCATGGAATACTATGCAGCCATAAAAAAGGATGAGTTCGTGTCCTTTGTAGGGACATGGATGCAGCTGGAAACCATCATTCTTAGCAAACTATCACAAGAACAGAAAACCAAGCACCACATGTTCTCACTCATAGGTGGGAACTGAACAATGAGATCACTTGGACTCGGGAAAGGGAACATCACACACAGGGGCCTATCATGGGGAGGGGGGAGGGGGGAGGGATTGCATTGGGAGTTATACCTGATGTAAATGACGAATTGATGGGTGCTGACGAGTTGATGGGTGCAGCACACCAACATGGCACAAGTATACATATGTAACAAACCTGTACGCTATGTACATGTACCCTAGAACTTAAAGTATTAAAAAAAAAAAAAAAGATTAGGAAAACAATACACAAAAAAACTGAGAAGTTTGACAAAGAAATAGAAACAATAAAAAATAATCTGGACATGGATGGAGCTGGAAGTCATTGTCCTCCACAAACTAATGCTGGAACAGAAAACTGAACACCACTTGTCCTCACATATAAGTGGGAGCTGAATGGTGAGAGCACATGGACACAGGGAGAGGAACAATACCCACTGGGGCCTGTTGCAGGTTGTGGGAGAGGCTAGGGAGAGAAAGAACATTCAGAAAAATAGCTAATGCATGCAGGGCTTAATACCTAGGTGGTGGGTTGACAGGTGTAGCAAACCACCATGGCACATGTTTACCTGTATAACAAACCCATACATCCTGCACATGTATCCCAGAACTTAAAATTTAAAAGAATGTCTTTTGAGGTTAGTTTCATGATTTTAAAAAAAGATAGAAATCCTTCAGATGAAGACTACAATAACTGAATGGAAGAATTCAATAGAAAGTTTCAACAGCAAACACA